TTGTCCTGGAACTCTTCCTTCTCTTTCCAGAAGTCTGGATCCAAAAAATCTCAGATCTTCATGATGCCTCCAATTTCTGCTCATCAATCACTCCGTAAACATTTGTTAAGTGCCTAGTATGTGCTAGACACTGCTCTCAAGGAGCTCACCATTCAAATGGGGGAGACAACAGTAAATAACCGTGTGCTACAAATAAACTACTTTTGAGAGCTCACAATCTAACGGGGAGACAACTGGAAATAATCACAGAGGGAAGGAAGTAGAATTAAGGGGACTTGGCAAAGATTTCCTGCAGGGTTATAGTTGTTACTTGAAGGAAGCCCTTTAGTGTTTTCAATAGGAATGGATGTTGCATTTTTTTTAAAAGGTTTTTCTGCATCTATTGAGATAATCATATGATTTTGGTTGGTTTTGTTATTGATAAAGTCAATTATATTGATAGTTTTCCTAATATTGAAATAGCCCTAGATTCCTGGTATAAATCCCACCAGGTCATAGTGTATCATCCTTGTGATATACTTGCTTGTATTTTATTTAAAAATTTTGCATCAATATTCTTTAGGAAATTGGTCTATAGTTTTCTTTCTCTGTTTTAGCTCTTCCTGGTTTAGGTATCAGTACCATATTTGTGTCATTAAAGTAATTTAGTAGGACTCTATTGCCTATTTTTCCAAATAGTTTACAATACTGGAATTAATTATTCTTTAAATGTTTGGTAGAATTCACTTGTTATTCCATTTTGTCCTGGGAATTTTTTTGTTTTTTTTTTCTTTTCTTTTCTTTCTTTCTTTTTTTTTTGATTAGGCAATGGGCTTAAATGACTTCACACAGCTAGTAAGTGTTATGTGTCTGCGGCTGGATTTGAACTCAGGTCCTCCTGAATCCAGGGCTGTTGCTCTATCCACTGTGCCACCTAGCTGCCCCTGGGAATTTTTTTCTTAGGGAGTTCGTTGATGACTTGTTCAATTATTTTTATTCTAAAATGCAATTATTTAAATATTACATTTCCTCTTCTCTTAATCTGGGAAATTTTCATTTTTGTAAATATTCATCCATTTCACTTAGATTGTCAGATTTATTGGCATACAATTGGGCAAAATGGCTTCTTATAATTGCTTTAATTTCATTTTTATTAGTGGTGAATTCACTTTTTAAATTTTTTATACTGGTAACTTGGTTTTCTTCTTTCCTTTTTTAAATCAAATTAATCAATGGTTTATCTATTTTTTTTTTCATAAAACTAGCTGCTAGGTTTATTTATTAGTTTGATGGTTTTCTTATTTTTAATTTGATCAATCTCTCCTTTGAGTTTTAGGTTTCCAATTTGGTGTTTAAGTGGGGATTTTTAATGTATTATTTTTCTACTTTTTTTAGTTGCATGCCCAATTCATTGATCTGCTCTTTCTCTATTTTATTGATGTAAACATTTAGAGATATAAAAATTTTCCTGTGTACTGCTTTGGCTACATCCCATGAATTTTGGTATGTTGTCTCATTGTTGTCATTTTCTTTTATAAATTATTGATTGTTTCTATAATTTGTTCTTTGACCCACTCATTCTTTAGGATTTGATTATTTAGCTTCCAATTAATTTTTAATTTATCTTTCCATGGCCTTTTACTGAATGTAATTTTTATTTCATTACAATTTGAAAAGTATGCATTTAATATTTTTGCTTTTCTGCATTTGATTGTGTGGTTTTTGTGCCCTAACACATGGTCAATTTTTATGTAGGTGACATGTGCCACTGAGAAAAAGGGTATATTCCCTTTTATTACATTCAGTTTTCTCCAGAGGTCTATCATACCTAACTTTTCTAAAATTTTATTCATCTCCTTAACTTGTTTTTTGTTTTTTTTTTTGTTAGATTTATCTAGTTCTGAAAGGGAAAGTTGAGGTCCCCAACTAGTATAGTTTTACTCTCTATTTCTTCCTGTAACTCGTTTAGCTTCTTTAAAAAATTGGATTGTGACATTTAAAAAGTTCAAGAGACACAATTTCTGGGTAATTAATCATTTTATCAATAATGCTAGCATATTACCAATAAAATAGGTCAGTGACACTCTCGAATACCAAAGTGTATATGTTATTCTCTCTTTGAGCCAATTGCGATGACACTAAGGTTCAAGTGTTGCCTACCACCCTTCCATCTTTCCCTCTACTGTACTCCATTCTACTTCTCCCTTTCCTCTTCTCCCAGTGCAATCCTCTTTCTCACCCCTTAATTTTGCCATAGTCATAGTCAACTTATGCTCAAACCTTGTCTCTATGTATACTCCTTCCAACTGCCCTAATAGTGTTAAAATTCTTAAGAGACAGAAGTGTCAGGAATGTAAACACTTTAACCTAACTGAATCCCTTAGGATTTCACTTTCCTGTTTACCTTTTTTGAAGGAAGCCAGCAGGGGGAGATGAGGATGGAGAGCATTCCAGGCTTGGGGGACACTCAGTGGAAATGCCCAGAGCCAAGAAATGGAGTATCTTGTTCCAAGAACAACTAGGTGGGAGGGGAAGGGGGCTGCGGATAGGAGTTGGAGGTGAGAAGGTGTAAGAAGCCTGAAAAAGCCCAGAGGGGGAAGGGCAGGTTATAAAGGGCTTTAAAGCCAAGAAGATGGTTTTGATATTTATTCTTGGAGGTGATAGGGAACCACAGGAGTTTATTTGGGGGGGGGGTGATATGGCCAGCCCTCTACTTTAGGGAGATGATTTTGACAGCTGAATGGAGGATGGACTGGGTCATGAGGTCCCCCTTTCATGAACCCTTTTTCTGCTCAGCCAATGCTGCCATCTTTGGGAGCAGGAGATTTCTTGGAGCTGGGCTGCTACTCCACCCCTCTCTCTCCCATCCAGGAACATGATATACTCTCTGTGTCTGCCTCACCTCCCATCAACACCTCTCAGCTCTGGTCTCTGTCCAACCTCTCCAGATCTGGATATGCTCCCTGTTTCAAAGCCAAGTTCAAGAAGGAGAGGTCAGATCTTCACTAGTCAGGACTCAATAACTCTTCCTGGGGTCGTGTCAAAATGGACCACCTACTGTGGGATGGGGCACTCCACACCTCATTGAGAGGCAAGTCTGCATCTGAGTACCAAAGGAAGATACTTAAAAAATGGAACAAAGACCCTATCTTTTCATCTAATTAATCTGGGGTGGGCTCCCCCTAGTCACACATCTGGTACTGTACAGGAAGCCAACATTTATATGGCACCTTGAGATCTACAGATCTCCAAACCTTAGTTTCCCAGTTTATAAAATGAAGGTGATAACAACAGCACATACCTAACAGGGCTGTTGTAAGGATCAAAAGCAATAATCTATGTAAAGTGCTCTGCAAACCTTAAATGTTAGATATTATGTGGTTGGGAATGGTCCCCTCAACTCCCTTCCCCTGTAGAAAGGAAAGTCCTTGAAGCTAGCTTCTGGGTTGATTTTGTCTGTGCTTGTCACGCTGACTGCTCTGAGTGCCAGCCACTCAATACAGGCTTTTCCAGGAGAATGGGTGAGGAATTGGAAAAGAGATTCAATGAGTAGTTCATAAACCACCCAGCTAATGAGGACCAGAAGCCTATTTGAATCCAAGTTTCCTGACTCAAGTCTGTGCTGTCTACACAATACATTTTTGCTTTGAGTCTTTTTTGACTACCCCAAAAGAATGAGAGCTTCTTGCTGGCAAAGGGTAAACTTACTTTTCAATCTGTACTCCCACGGGATAGCTCAGTGCTTTGCACAGAGTAAGGATTTTGACAAGCAATTTTAACTTCATCCACTCGTTTGTAACATTCAGTCACTAGATTAGACTTGGGTCTGATGAGGCCGATTTAAAAATGGCCTTTGTTGTTTGTAACAATCCTGATAAATGAAATGGCTTATGATGTCCCCCTACTTTAGGGTCAGAATCACTCACTTTATGCAATTCATTCATTCATTCATTACCTTGGAAGGTAAGTACTTTAGCCTCTCTTTGCATTTGAGGCTAGAAAGTGTAGGTGTTCCTCCAAAGTTCTGGCATTGGCCTTCCTTCTTTTTTCTCGCTGTCTCTACTCTATTCTGTCCCTTGAGAAACTCATTTGCTTTCAGGGTTTGCCCTGGAACTTCTGTTCAGAGGATTTCTAAATCTCTCTGTCTCTAGCCTTGACTACAGAACTATGTGGTATAGATTCACCCCATATGGGGTCCCACAGTTTAGGAAGCAATGAAGGGGTCTGGAGTGGGGAAAGCTTAAGAAGCCCCGGTATAGAGGATGGTTTACCAGACTCAAGAGGCAGGAGGTTCTAGGTTCAAATCTCTGCCTCACACATTTACTAGCTATAAGTCTGTAGGCAAGGCAAGTAAGCACTCTCAGCCTGAGCTTTGCCCCCCCTGTAAAATGAGGATGATGATAGCCCCTACCTCACAGGTGTGCTGTGAGGGTCAGATGACATTAAATGTGTGCTATGTGACGTACAAGTCTATGTGCAGGTGCTTCATAAACCTTATACAGTTCCATAATGGTAGGTGGTGCATTTCTTTTTGTTACTGTTGGCTGCTCTTCTGGACTCCAGACCGTCATTTCTATGTGCCTAGGAGACACCTCCACCTGGATGGCCCCACAGCATCACAACTTGAGAGCCATGTGACCTGGACAAGCAAGCCCCCAGCCCTCCTGGGCCCTCCAATGAGGGGTCTTGAGAGCTTAGCACAGCGTCTGTCACTGACTGAACAGCAGCAAACTTAAAATGCGTCGTGTACAGGTTTTTTTTTCTTTTAGGAGGACCGGCTGTCAATCATTTACCAGCATGGCCCACGTGGTTATGAAGCGGGATTCGAACCAGCCTTCTCACTCTAACTCCAGCGACCTGGCTTCCAGCGCTCTGGGAGGGAGCGAGCTGCCGCGGTGCCCGCTGGGAGCTGTAGTCGGACCTCGCGGAGCCTCCCGGGAGCTTCTGGGAGTTGTAGTCTTGCGGCGCCACTTCCGGGCCTCGTTTCCTCGTGGTGGGGCCGGCTTGCCTGGTTGGAGGGTCTTTTGGAGGGTTGGTGGGGGGTGGTCCTCTTCCTGATCCGCCCGAGGTGAGTGATTCTCCCATCCCCTGGGCTGGGACCGGGACCCCGGGGACAGGAACGGGGGTCGCGCCGGCGGACCTGGCGGGGTCGGAGCCGCCGTCTGTGCCCCTCCCCAGGAGCCTTGCTGCTCATCTTTAGGGCGGGGGAGGGGCACCTTCTCTGCGACCCCTCCCCCCAGTCAGCCTTATAGCCCCTCCTCCCGGGCAGAACCTCTCCTCCTCCCCATCCCCATCAGCCTGATTGCCTGAGCTGGGGAGGGGGCTGCCTTCTCTCCCCCCCCATCAGCCTTATTGCTCCCCCCCCCGGGGAGACCCCCCCCCCCCCCCTTAGCCTTATTGCTCCGGGGGGGTGAGGGGGACCTTCTCTTTCCTCCATCAGCCTTATTGCCCCTCCCCGGGGCAGAAGCCCCTTCTCCCCCTCACCCCACCCCCACCCCTCTTCGGCTTTTGTAGGGGGACTGCCTTCTTTGAAGCGGCATTCAGCGTTCTGTGTTGGGGAGAAGATTTAGGTCTCCTGGACCCTGCCCTGGAGGGGCTTCCGTCCTCCTAAACCGGCCCCAGCCCGGCTTTGGGTCTCCTGGATGGCCCAGGGCTCTGCCCGAGGAAGCACTAAACTCTCCTTTGCTGAATGACTGTGGCCGGGTGTCCCCCAGTCCGTGTCCATCTACCTTCAACTCCTCGGGGGGTCTCTGGATCTCCCCTTTAAGGCCTACAGTTTCACTTCCTTTGTCCCCGATGCTTATTACTTGGCACACAGCTGGTGCTTAATAAGGACTTGTTAATTGATCGTAACTAATAATAAGGGCATGTTAATTATTCGTAATTAATCATAAGTTAATTGCTAAAAGACATAGAAGGCTCTTGAATGGGTCTTTATGTGGCCCTTGATTTTTCCATGTGTAAAAGGAGAGGGTTAGATTGTCTGTTCTAGCCCTGAATCCTGCATCTGGGGGATTGTGCCTTCCTGCCGCGTCTTGTGTGCCAGTGGGCTGCTTATCTTTTGTGGGAGATTTTAAGTAATAATTCTATCTCATTTTTTTCCATTGCATACTTTCCCCCTGCATCCCTCTCCCTCCTATTTACCCCTCCACATCTCTTGGAACAAAGAATTTTTTTTCTTTTAAAGAACACAAAAATCAAGGTGGGAGAAGTCTGATGATATGTTGGGGGCAATTTCCATAGGTGCGTGTGTGCAGAGGGGCAGGGGAAAGGGTCTTCTGAGTCTCTTGGAATATGCCCTTCTGTCCCTGCCTCAGGCTATATCTGGACCAAGTAGCTTTTTCCCACCCCAGGCACTTTTGTCAGTCTGCCCTCTCCCTCCCTCTCTCTCTCTCCCTCTCCTTCCCATGAATGGCAGTGTCCATTCTTCTGGTCCCCCTCTATTTAGCAGGGTGTGGGTGCCGATGTTTTAGCAGTTTAGATTTAAAACTCCAAGGTACCTTAGAAGATATCTAGACAGAATGCCAGGGACGTTATTTACCCAAGGCCACACAGATTGTGTCAGAGGTGGGATTTCAACCCAAGTTTGTGGACTCCTAATCTAGTGCTTCCCACTACCCCACTTTGTCTCAGAAACTGATTGGGTTGCTTTATGTCCTATAAAAATATCCTGAGATAGTTTTAATGTAGTTAAGTAAGAAAGGTTTGTTTTGGGATTCTCAGGATTCTTAACCTAAGATCCAAACTACCTGTGTGACCTTGAACAAATCACTTGACTTACTTGGATCTCAGTCTCCTCATCTGTAAAATGAGATATTTGGCTAGGTGGCCTTTGAGGTCCCTTTCTGTTCTTAATCTATGAGTAAGTGAGTGCCCAGCCAGAATTAAAACTTGATTCATGGGAATTCATAGGAAGCTGTAAGAAATCTTGGCTGTCCACCTCACCATACCATCTCTACCTTGTACATGGAGGAACAGCTACCCTGAACAGGGAAGGTTGCTTTACTTGCTGGGGGTGATTGATCAGTAGTCATTTATCAATGGCTCTCTGTGTGCCAAGAGTTGTGCTCAGGTTGGGGATAGAGACTGTAGGCTGAATACTATGATAGAAGGCTGTTTTGACAGTTTCTGGTGGGTGGTGGGGCAGTGGGGCAGAGGAGACAGAGATGAGGAAGGACTCTGGATGAACCCACACATAGGCCAGGACCACCGTGGTGAGCACCAAAACCAAGTATGTTAACAAGTTTTTGGGTTGGTAGAGGAAAGATGATGGGGGTGGAGGGATGGACCTGATATCTGGTGGTTTCCCCTACAGCCCCACTCCCCCATCTTCAGGTGGAGCAAAGTGTGTCTGCTTTTCCAGATGTCTCCATAGCCCTTCTGTTTCTCTGGGTCCTGATACAGGGGTGTGTGGCAGGGTCTTCATTTGCCAGACTCCTGCCCTCATCCCATTTCACCTCTTCTTCCTCTGGTCTGAATAGTGGTCTAGCTCCTGGGTCTTCTCTCCTCCCCTTGTGTATGTGAGAGGTCACTCCTGCTTGAAAGTGGGCCTGAAAACCCCTGGTCCTAACTGGGGCACTGTACCTGTGCATTGTGCCCCTTAGGGTTTGCACAAACCTGTGGGTTCTAAGTCAGTGCCTCCTTTTGAGGGCACCTCCCACCTTTCTCTCAGATACCAGCTTCAGTCAGGGGTGTACAGCCCTTCAGAGCCTCGCTGTGAGGCGCCCCTCCCTTAATTCTATTCCCAATTGGACTTGGATGCCATGTGGTATGTGCACTACAAGAGACTTGTGAGGTGGTTTTTTGGGGGGGGAGGGGTGCACTTCTCCTAACAAATGCTCCTGAGAAGCACCCCTCCCTCCCTCTGCAGATCTCCCTTTCTGCTGGACTCCTGCCTGTGGTTATGGGGGTCGCTCCCTCTCTCCGGGCAGCTTTGGAGCCTGAGGTTGCGCCCTCGGCCCGAGCTCTCCGGTGAGTCCCTCGCTCTCGCTCTAGCAGATGCCGGTGCCTCGGTGCTCCGGGCCCTGCGGTGGGGTCCGTCCAGCTGCCCTGCGGAGGCCTCGCACCGGCGGGGCGGTCTGCCGATCCTGCTTCTGCAATGCGTTTGAGGCCGAGGTGCTGACCACACTGCAGACTGGCCGCCTGCTGCCGCCCGGGGCCATCGTGGCTGTGGGCGCGTCCGGAGGCAAGGACTCCACGGTGCTGGCGCACGTGCTCCGGGCCCTGGACGCCCGCCACGGGCTGGAACTGGACCTGCGCCTCGTGGCCGTGGACGAGGGCATAGGCGGCTACCGAGACGCAGCGCTGGCGGCTGTCCGACGCCAGGCTGCCCGCTGGCAGCTGCCGCTCACCGTGGTCGCCTACGCCGATCTCTTCGGGGGCTGGACCATGGACGAAGTGGCCCGCCGGGCGGCCCAGGAGCCAGGCCGAGCCCGAGCCTGCTGCACCTTCTGCGGGGTCCTGCGGCGGCGTGCGCTGGAGGAGGGGGCCCAGCGCGTGAGGGCCACGCACATTGTCACAGGTGAGCTCTGGCAAGGAGCAGCCTGCTTTCTCCTGGTGTGCGGGGCTGGGGCGCCTGTTAGTTGGGGCAGCCTGCCTCTGCACTTGGTTCCCTCCTCTCCTCCCCCATTCTTGATTCTGGGCTTCACCCTCCCCCCTTTGTGACCCTGGGCCCTGTCCCACCTGTGCTTCTGTGTAACTCTGGGTCCCCCTCTCACCTGTGACCCTCTTTGTGACTGGAATCCCACCGTTTTGTGTGCCTGGTCTACCCCCACCCCCCATTCTGAGTAGCACTGCCTCCTTCCTACCCATGTTCCTAGGGAGCTCCCCACCCCGGCCCTGAGTCCCCCTCCCCCTACTTGGGGTTCTTGGCCCCCCTCTTACCTGCGTCCCTGCCCTTCCCTGCTTGTGACTCTGGGCCCTCTTTGTGTTCTTATCCACCACCACTCCTCTATGACTGTGGGCTCCCCCCCC